ACGCCGGGAATTTTACGGGACAGAGGACGGCCGGGCTGAAGAGGAGAAAATAAGAATAAAACTCACGGATGCGTCAAAAAAGGAACGGCTATAATTAAACCGAGAGAGTCTCTGTAAAAGGTGGACTTATCTGGAGAAGGCCATTGAATGCTTTCGCTGGCTTTTATTACGCCATTTCCTTAAATCTGCCCTTTGTGATATTAAAATGCGCTAGCCGGAATGCTGCGTGGTATATGGAGCATCTATTTGTTTGAGAAGTGTAAGGCTGCATTCTTAAGTTAAATTTGACTTAAAATAGGATAGGACAGGACAGGACAGAAGAGGAGAGGAGAGGAGAGGAGAGGAGAGGAGAGGAGAGGAGAGAAGAGAATATTAGAATAGAATAGAATAGAATAGAATAGAATAGAATAGAATAGAATAGAATAGAATAGAATAGAATAGAATATGGAATGGAATAAGAATAGAGTAGAGTAGAGTAGAGTAGAGTAGAGTAGAGTAGAGTAGAATAGAATAGAATAGAATAGAATAGAATCTCCAATTATTCTCCAATAATAGAAGCTTGCCTGTTATTCTATTATCAATCAAGATGGTTGAACCAAATAACTTCTAAGCTTCCTTCCAACTGTAGGATTCTATGAAATCCTGTGGATTCTTTTGCAGAAGAAGCTGGAGAGAAGCTCAACCCAAACAGAAAGTAATTCGCTGGTCACTCAACAGTCCAGTAGACGTGCTGGACCAAGGTGACGTTCCACCTGAACGATGAGAAGAAGGCTTCTCATCAGCAGAACATCAGAAGAAGACCATCCTTCACGGACCTTGCTGTTAGGTCTGTTGTCCCCTTGCTCGGTCCCTGATCTCAGCCAATTTTGTGAGCAACGGTGATGGCGGTGAACAGAAACACACGACTTCTGCTGACTCCGATCAGCCCAGCCAGAGAAGGCAGATAGCCCCAAGCAAGGTTGTTCCCCATACCTTAAAAGAGGTGGAGATGACTCCTTGCTGCTTTTATTAATAAGAATATTTCTGTCCTGCGGCTCGTGTTGAACAATCCTACCCTTCCCCACCGCGTTGGAGATGGAAAACGTAACGCCAGAAATCCATAGCAGAGGAGTAAAAATGACAGAAAACCTTCTGCTCGCTCAGCAGAAGAAATTGTTAATTACTTCTCTCCTAATGGATTCCACAGGAAGGTGCACAAAGGTACAAACACAGCCGTACGCACAACTGGAAGGAGCTCGCAAAGGTGAGCGAGGTGACTTTGTTTACGGAAGTCTTCTCGACGGGTGGTGTGAAGGCCCTTTGGCGACCCTCAGAAAAGCAGAGATGGAGGTCCTTCTTAGGAGGCACGGTGGCTTTCCGGTTGGGTGGGCCACAACTAGCTGTGAGATGCAGCTGCCCAAGCAGCAAAGGTGAAAAACAAAGTCAACCATCCATGCGAGGTGGGTGTCCACCATCTTGAAAGGCTCCAGAGATGGAAGATCCACCGTTTTTGAAAACGGTGGAATGGAAGGATGGATGGATGGAGGGATGGATGGGTGGATGGATGGATGGATGGATGGATCCTAACAACAGGATAGATGAAGGCTACTTTGCTTGAACACATGAAGGCCATGCTGGGGAAGTTGTGCAGGCACATTTAAGCTTCACAAACAAGAGGAGAACCTTGCTGGGATGGATTCAAAGCTAGGAGCCCCCCCCCCCCCAGTAGTGCTGAGGACGATCACTACCCCAGGCGGAAGAGTGACTGGTGTGTGTCACAGCCCCTGGCATCCAAGGGGCACCGTGGTTTTTAAGAGAACAAACTATGATCATAGCTAGTCATTTAAAGGGCAGATTATTGCCACAGCTATTACTTAGATATGGGAAATAAGGAAGGACAAAAGAGAGTGCGGGAATTCGAGGGAGGGAGAAAAAGGGAAGGAAGGAAGGAAGGAAGGAAGGAAGGAAGGAAGGAAGGAAGGAAGGAAGGAAGGAAGGAAATTAGGGTGCCGGAGTCCCTCAAATATCCTCTTCCAGGTAAGGAATCCCCAAATTGCTCAAATCAACCCAAAATCCCCGCAGAGCCTGGGGACGGCAGGAGAAACGGGGGCAGGAGAGGAAGAGCCATCTCTGCCGCTCATCCCCAGCCGGCCAAGAGCCCTGGCCCCCTCCTTTTGAGGTCACGGGGTACTGAAGGCCAAGCTGAACCCGGCAATTTAGAGCGGTCACTTGAACGGTCACTTGACATCTGTTTGGGCAGATGTTGCCAGCCGTGCTGGCCTCCTCCTCCGCTGGGCCTGGCATCTGTCAGACATGGTTATTATTGAATGGCAGGATTAACTCTGCTCAGAGCAGAACTGGAGGGGAAGGCGGCAATTAGCCCGGAATTTGGTTAAGGAAAAAGGATGGCAGGCCGGCACAGAAGGTGCTGAATGCGAGGGTTGGACACGGAAACCATGAGAGAAGCAACTTTGGGAATTGAGCTTGGCTGTTTTCTTGCAGACGTTTCGTGACCCAACTAGGGAACATCATCAGGGCTAGAAGGGAGGGGGGTTTGCAGAGAGGAGGAGGAGAAGGAGGAAGGTACTCTAACACTGGATGTTTTTAGGAAGAGACTGGACAGCCATTTGTCTGAAATGGTCTAGCTAGGGTCTCCTGCCTGAGCAGGGGGCTGGACTAGAAGACCTCCGGGGTCCCCGTTACTCTGTTAGGAAATATTCCGTTCCCTTCCTGAGAAGAGCATCCTCCCACCTCGCAGCTACAGAAAAAGGCCCCTGGATTTCACAGAGCTCAAACAATTACGCAGCCGTTTTCACTGCCAGGATCCGTGTGGGTGGAACCAGCCACCCTTGCGATGGGCATCCATGTGCGTTGCCAGGGGCAACCGAAGGTTTGGTACCCATCGCAAGAAACCCAACATTCTCCAAGTTTTTTCTCAAGAGGGGGGAATTGGGAACGATGCAGTATAGCTAGTCCTCGACTTTACGACCGTTAAGTGAGCCAGGAATTGCGGCTGTAAGTCATGCTGGCCATTAAGCGAGTGGCCGTGCCCGATTTTACGACCTTTTTTAGGCGAATACAGCGGTTGTAAAGCAAACACGACCGTCATTAAATGGATCCATTCTCCTCCGGATTGACATGGCCAACAAAAAGTGGGGGGAATCCACTTCCCCCTCCTTCCCCCCTGGAGCCAAAGATATCGGCTAGGAAACCATCCCGTTTTCCCTGCCGAATTTCCATTACTCCGACGCCCGGCTGATTCACTGACGTGATGGCTAAAATCCCCTTAAATCCGCAGCTAGCCCCTCAGATAAAAACCAGGGATCAGTCAGACGTGCACAATCGTTCCTGGCCTGAATATCTTCTTGAAGACGGTGCCAAAAAAAAAAAAAATCAGTTTTTTTTTTTTAAACTTTAAGCTTATTTTTTTTTTCCTCTAAGCTGGCGAAAATATTTTTTTCCCCAAGGGGGACGTCTTAAAACACAGACCGTTTGAGACTTGCTGGGTGGGCAAAAGAAAAATATATATATTTTTAAAAAAAAATAAGGGTGGTTTTTTTTTTTTAACTCTCTCCGATTCGATCCGGGGGTCTGGATTTTGCGACGGGGCTGAAAATTTGAAAGGCTGCCCAATGGTGGAGCCCTGATCGGCGAAGAACGGGGGGATTACACAGCAGAAGCTATTAGAAACGGGGGCAAATTCTTCCCCCCTTCTTGTTTGGGATTAAAATTATCTAAATTGTACATGAACCGAACTTTCCATCAGCCTTAGAAACGAGAGCTGCTGCTTCCCCTGGGCTAATTAGCCAAAAAAAACCCCACTCGCCTGCCTCCTTTATTTTTTTACAGTACTCCTCGCCTTACGACCACAGGGGAGCCCCGAATTCACGTTGCTAACCCAGACCGTTGTTAAGTGAGTTTTGCCCCATTTTAAAACCTTTCCTCCCGCCGTTGTTAAGCGAGTCACTGCAGCTGTTGCGTAAGTAACACTGTTGTTAAGTGAATCTGGCCTCCCCATTGACTTTGGTCACAAAAGGGGATCGCGTGACCCCGGGACAGTGCGACTGTCATGGGTATGAGTCAGACGTCAGGTCTGAATTTTGATCACGTGGCCGTGGAGATGTGCAACGGTCTTAAGTGTGAAAGATGGTTACAAGTCAGTTTTTCACTGCCGCTGTAAGTTTAAACGGTCACTAAATGAATGGCTGTATTTGCAGACATGACCCAAAGGCTTTTATCTTAGGGGATTCTCTAGGGGAATTTAAAATTAGGGGCAGACAGGGAAGAGGGGGGAACAGTAAAGTTTGACCAACAACAGATCTCTGTTTGAATATCAAAGTAGCACAGGAACGACACCAATTTGAAGGAGCCGGAATGGACATAGTTTGCAAACAAGATACCGTGGGAAACTGAAATTGACAGATTCACAAAGGAACAACAAGAAACAATCAACAATCCAGAGAATGAAACTGAAATTGACAGTTTGGACAAACTCACCCCCCCCCCCAAAAAAAGAAACCAGGCAGAGAAAGAAAACAAAATCGACAAACCAACAACATTGAAAACTGAAACCTAGGGCGTTGGTCTCGCTGGACAAACGTGGTTCCAACGTGGAGAGCATAATACAGATTTACTCACAAAAGTGTCTCTTCAGAAACTTAAAAAGAAAAGTCACATCAAATCAGTGTCTGGAAAAGAACTGGATGACTGACGTGATGGCCAACATCTGAGAAGACTTTCTGGAGGTCCAGAGGAGAAGCTCCAGGGATATCAGCTGAAGAGGTATGGCCCAAACTTGAGGTGGACATTAAAGGGAGTAGATGGCCTCTTAAGAAGTTATTGAGCCCCATTTGACCTCTTCAAACCTCAAAGACAGATCTGAGGCACCATTGGTCCCATCAGAGGTAGAACGGACACCCCCACCCATGTCATATCTGCCTACCAAGTGACCTCCTGGCTCAGAACATCCAAGAAGACACCAAGAACATCTGTGAAGGCACCAAGAAGACAAGGACACCTACCTGAAGTGTCTCCTGGTATTTTAGGTGGCGATGGTGGTGGAGCTTTTTTCCTGCTACCCCCAGATGTGGAAGGGGGCAGCAGCGTGCTGATGGGCTGGTTCTTAGGCGCCCCGAACCCTGTGCCAAGTCCTTTGAACTGTACGGTTGTAGAAGCCGCTGTGGTGGTAGTGATAGTGGTGGTGGTTGTCATACTGCTGGTCACCCTTTCCAAAACCGAGGTGGCAGGACCATTGTAAATCCCAGGGATTGTGCTGGTCTCCAGAGCTTCCAACGGGCTGGTGGATCCCCATACTATGACCTCAGTTTCCAACGTTGGCTTGCTATTCGCTCGGAGATACCTTTTCCTCCGTTTCAAGTAAGTCTGGGACACAGCTCTCCTGTCCGTCAACGAAGGGCTGGCTTTCACGTGGGCGAAAGACGGAGTCCGCTGGCTTTCCCACAAGAGGTCCACCATGTTGCGCAACCGTTTGAGATGGAACAAGTTGGGCCGTTGTCCGTTGGGCAGTTCCAAGTAGTCAAGGCTGGCTGGAAACCCAAGTCTCCTGGTTTGTGGTCCATATCTAAAGCTCCACAAAAGGTGGTGAGGGAATCCATACCAGCGGGCAGGTCTCTGCAAAAACTGGTGCCGATGGTCTCGGCCCAAAGACGCACAAGAGGAGATCTCCATGGCAAGTCGAAACATGGCTATTAAAATCCAAGGATGGCTTCGCACAGGAGAAGCTGACCTGAGGACAGACAGAGAACTGGGTTAGATACAGACGTCCGTGAACCCAAACATCTCAAGGTGGCTGTAGGACAGAGGAGGAAGCTCATGTGATGTTTCCCTCAGCATCAAGGTCAACCAGCTTTCCAACCCTTGGCCAGATGACCTTCTCACCCAACATGTTGTAAATACTCTAGGTCCAGAATAAGCCAGTTTCTCAATCATAGTCAGATTCTAACCTTGCAGTAGAACCCCAACCAGCTTTCCAATCTTTGGCTAGCTGACCTTCTCACCCAATGTCTTGTAAATGCTCTAGGTCCAAAATAAGTGTGTTTCTCAACCACAATCAGATTCTAACCTTACAGTAGAACCTCAAAGAGGTTCTCCTCTTATTTTCCATCTCCTCTCCTGATGTTCCTATCCTTCTTCCTTTTGAATATCCTTATTTCATATTATAGAGTATGAATATTCTAATCACTAGTCCCCTGTTCCTTTGACAGCCTCCTACTACGCTTCTCACACTCAGCCACCATGCCTACGGACCAACGTTGAGCTCTCTTCATCCAGCCTCGCCTTCCACTTCTGCTACGTTCTGCAGAACTTCACCACTTCAGCAGAACCGTCTCCGAACCACCCTTGGGTAATCTTTCAACTCATCTTTCTGTCTTGCTTGATCAACTCTGAGAAATGGAACAGCTGAGAATCCTCACCACAGAAGGTTCTGTGATGGGGTCTCCTAACCTCCTCCTACAATTCCTCCATCTTACGCTCCACCACGAGCACCAAACAATGTTTCTTTGGAAACAAGCTGTGTTTCTCGCCCTTTTCACGTCCACCAGCTCGGGTGTCATTTGATGGAGTAAGAGACCCATCAAACAAGTGATTCATTGAAAGGAGGAGAACCCATCCCAGACAGATGGACCGAGACGCAATCAACTCCTCCACAGCTTCAGCTACTCCTGAATGGGATGGAACCTGAAGACCAGGCCTGTCAACGTAGGTGGAGAACAGAGTAGACAACCTTGGGGAGCCCAAAGCACCCGGTTGAATGGGAAGGACGTGTTGGGAGGATGTTCAGAGATTGCTATAGACATACATACGATTAGGATGGACAGTGCAACATCTGGAGACTTTTTCTGTCTCTCTGGATGCTGATAGTAAAAAAAGGGGCACGCCTGACTTAACCCCCAGCGTTGCTTAGCAGGGGAAATTCTATGCCAGTTGTGGACGTAAGTGGAGGACTCCATAACTGCAAACTCCGGGTCTGCCTTGAATCGCAAATGGAGGACCCTTGGCCTTGACCCTCACCTGAAGGGCTGCAGAGACGGAAGGAAGGACAAGGAAGGATGCTGCGGTGGGCGGAGTTACTCCTTGGCGCTTTTGCTCTTGCTCTGGTCTTTGGTGGGCCACGGTCTTCCTCTTCCTTTTCCCCTCTTCCTTCCCCCTCTCTCTTCCTCTCCCCTCCCTCCCTCCCTCCCTTTCCTTCCTCCTCCTCCTCCTCCTCCTCCTCTTTCTTCCTCCCTCTCCTTCTCTACCACTCCTTCTCCTTCCTTCATCCTTCTTCTTCCCTCTCCTCCTCCTTTCTCCTTTTTATTCCTCCTCCTCCTCTCCTTCTCCTTCCTACCATCCTCCCTCTCTTCCTCTTCCTCCCTTCCTCCTCCTCCTCCCCCCTCCCCCTTGCTCTTTTCTGCAAAGTCATTTAGACAGCCTGCCCAGCGTCCCTCTTTTTTTTTTTTTTTTAATAGAAATTTTTATTAATTTTTCAATTAAAACAACAAATACAAATGATGCCTCTATATACACCAACAAACAATAAAAATACTCAAAACATTTTCGGATACACTCGGCAGTCCCCGCCTTGCCTCCACCCTCATCCACTTTACCTCTCCTTCCTCCCCCTAAACCCACAACCTCTCCTCCTTTTCTT